TATAAGAAACATCATTATGATGTTCAAATGACTGAAATTTGAGGAATACTCTAGAGTATGAATGGATTGATGTACCTCTACAACTCTTTCTAAAGACATAACTATCTCATTCTCAACACTTGACTTGATTTCTCATCTTATCATCTCACCCTTAGGTCTAAAACTAACACTTGAAAAAAAAATGGACCTATTCCCTCATCTCTAAACTGTTCTGCATTCCCTTTAATACTCAGAAAGGCTTATCTCATGGCTACAGAACTCTCCATAAGCAGGTACTAAGAATCTTTGTAGGACCTCTTTCTAATATGTTTCTATTAACCTCTTTTCATTGGCTTATAAGGCCACTTCATCTAACTCTTTAAGGGAAAAATAATGCTTACTTCAGCCTACTCCATACTGGTAACTCAATTATACTATCTAGACACATATAGAAAATCATAAACTTAATTAGAATCTCATTTGACTACATACGATCTTGGGTACACCTCTTAATGCTCTTGTTACTCTGATGACTTAGTCACACTTTATTACATTCATCTAAATGTCGATATCTCATACTTGTGCCACTTCTATTCATTGTAGTTGACACCATAGTTCCTTACCTACTCTTTGTCAAGTCTACCAGACCAGATCTAAGAACTAACATCATCACCCTCATGTTGCCATTCTTTTGATCACAACACTCATCTCAAATTCAAGCTTAGTGTCTAGTTCTACACACAATTATCAATAAGGTTTCTCACATAATGTACTAACTTATGAATACTAGGCAAAATTAAGAAACAATCACACACTAAGGCTTCATGCTAAGTAGTCAATCTTGATCTCTTAGTCTACATACTTATAGTTTACCATCACTTTCCGCTTCACAACTTAAGTACTATTTACTCTTTCACTATACACTATTGCCTAGTTAGTTCTATAACCCTCTGAATATCATTGGGTTCCCCCCTTCAAAATCATAAGCCTATCTTAGATCTATCACCTTATGAATACTCTACTCTTCTATTCAACACATACACTTAGTCTTTATTTACACGATGGCACATCGACTTAAACTCCCTTCTGGTTCAAGTATACTCAAACTCATCTTGACAAGTGACTAATTCTCTACCTCTTATCATGAAATCTACACAAGCTCATCACTTCTTAGTCCACCCATAAGGAAAAACTTCTAATTAATAACTTACTGGGTGCATGACTATAATAACATAGCTTGCCTCATCACTATCTCCCTTTCTTAGATTATTGAATCTCTGCACATATTCTTCTAATTTAAGTTCACCTTCACTACTACTGCGCATAATAACATAACTCATACTATCATTTCGGGTGAAAATACTACACAAGCTCTAAAACACACTTCCTCATAAGAGTCTTAATTGAAACAAGGTTTAGAGAAGAGAGTGCATCTCACTTTTAACTTGAATGCACGATTCATATGAATAAGAGTGTATTCTTTTGAATCTCAACACTTAAGCTCACTCATGGGCTTCATTTAAGCCTATCTAGAGTCTCATGACTTCCTCAAGACTTTTGCTAAGAACAACTCAACCATAAGGATCTTGGGATTTATTTTCAACCACCTTTAGTATGAGGGGTAGTCGAATGGATATGAGGACGCACAAGTTAGAATAAATTCCTTATGACACAGTTCTACTTCACGATTTAGAGTATGAAGGAAGGGGAACTTTTCTTAAATGTATGTCGTAGTCCCTCATTTATAGAAGTGGGTCCCTCACAGCTATAAATAAGATCCTACTTGACACGATATTATAGACACCCTAGGACATTTGAAATTTGTGCTCGGATACCAAGTTTGTCAAGACCCAAGCCTACACCCTTGACGGGGCCGGCACTGGAGAATCGTTGCTGGTAGCCAAGGGAATCCTCATCCTAGCTGACTACAAGAAGAAGACTTACTGAAGCTTACACAAGCATCAAACTGAAAGAAATATTTAAAGACACTTTACTGAATCTTAATGCATCGCTGAATATACTGAGTATGAAATATAAGTTTTAGATAAAATATCTGGAACATGAAAGACTCTCCAAAATTTTCTATTTATGAAGCCTTTACTATACAAATATGAGTGTTGGAAAAAGACCCATGACTCCTCAAAAGAATTACTACTAACAATTCATAAAATTAGAGTTCTCCAAAAGCAAGGAAGTCTCAGTCATAAGTAGATGAGTGTATGAAGTGATCTCAAAAGACTCTTGTTGAGGATTGTAATAACCTGTATCTGCATCATTAATGATGCAGGTCAAATGAACTTAATACATTGAATATACGAGTATATAATATAGCTGAAGAACAAATAACTGAGATAAAGGACCGGAATAGATAAGAATGTACTCAAGCTGAATGTAAAGAAATAAAGGAGTTAAATCATTTAAAGCTTTACAAAATATTTTCTCATCTCTCAACTCAACATAATACGTGATATATAAATATACACTTTAACTCTATTGGGAGATTTTCTAATCGACAACTATCACTATGAGCTATGTGATGATACAACGTGTTACCCACACTACTAGAAATATCCTATACCTTGTCGGGGTCCTCAACTAAGTGGATCTACTAAGTTATACTTAAAAAACAATAAGGAATCATCTAAAAAGTATGACCTTTTACCCATGTTGGCATACATGGTTTATGAGGACTTTGAGTTGTCTAAACTCGTTCCCATATCGGTGCTCAATACTACTCCCAATAATATATACTCATGGTCATATGTTTAAAAACATAACTCTTCCTCTGGTTTGAGATAGTTGCTCAAACTACCCTCTTAAAAGAGGTAAATTCTCTTGAAATATCTTTTGAACTCATAACTCATTTAGAAATCTCAGTTTCTCTTTCATCAATGTAAAAATTGATACCTCTCGAAATACATAGTCCGCTTATATTCTTACTCAATTCATACTTGTAACCTCTTTCTCAAAAACTTATCAAAATCATATTTTAATATGATCATTGATGACTTGGAAAGTCATACTGCATAAACATTGATGGTATATCCAGATACCATATTGGTCATACAATCATGGCATACTCAATCGTCATTACTAATCATATTTTAGAAACTCTTTTCTCAAAACTCATCCATTTTCTCAAAACTCAGTTTAAGAACTCAAGTTTTGGCTTTAAAAAGGTTTTCAAAATTTATAACTCAAATCATAGGGTTCATGTTGAATTATAGACTTGAATGACTCAGCTCATGGATCTGAATAGAAATAAGGAAACTCAGTACTCAGATCTCAAGACTCAAGAACTCAAGAACTCAAGGACTCAATAACTCGAAACTCATAATTCGATGATGTTTCTCCTCTAAAAAATACTCAATTCATAGGGTTCATGCTGAAATATAGACATGAATGAATAAACTATAGAATTTTAATACATAACATATATCAATTCAATAAGAATTTAAAAAAGAAACAAGAACTCAAGAATTCAAATCAACTTATCTTAAGAATACTCAAATCTCGGGATAGAATCCTACATTACTCTTTTACTGATTTTAAAATAGATGTAAGGAGAGAGGATGAACTAATCCATCACTATTATAGCCTTACATACCTGAAAGCACAAGGTTCTTGAAAAATATTGAAGAAGCTTGAAGAAGAACTTGATTAGAAGCCTTTGATAGGTTATGGGCCACATAACTCTTTATACTCTAAGAGATATGGTAATTTTAAGTTGACCCAAGTAGAATCTTATATCAAAACTTAATCCATAAAACTTTCAACTTTACTTTGTGCTAGGGGATTCTAGTGACCTTAATTCATATCCAAATCATTCCCACACTAAAGAATTTACCTTTACACATATGGTAATTTATGAATCACCGGATATGACCCTACAAGTAAATGAAGAATTGTTGGAGTCTGAACTTAGAAATTTTTGGAGTGTTACAATAACTCTTAGATGAGTCGCATGCTCCTCCTCACTTCGAGAATAAATGAGGATATCATTGATAAAGACAATAACGATCAAGTCCAAATACTGTTTGAACACCCTGTTAACTAAGTCCATTAAATCTGTTGGAGCATTTGTTAGTCCAAAAGACATAACTACAAATTCATAGTGACCATACTATGTTCTAAAAGTTATCTTCGGGATGTCACTATCTTTGACTCTGAGATGATGATAGCCAGCTTTGAGGCCTATCTTAGAAAAAAAACTAGTACCATGAAGTTGGTCGAACAAGTCATCAATCCTGGGGATGTGATATTTATTCTTTATTGTGACTTTGTTGAACTGCTGATAGTCAATGCACATTCTGAGAGAACCGTCTGTCTTTCCCACAAACAACATTGGAGCACCCTACGGAAAGATACTAGGTCTGATGAAGCCCTTATCTAGAAGGTTTTTCAACTGCTCTTTCAATTACTTAAGCTTGGCTGGAGCCATTCTGTAAGGAGGAATGAAAAAAGGCTGGGTATCTGGAAAGAGATCTATCCCAGAGTTGATTTCCCTTTCGGGAGGAACTCCGGGAAGATCAACACTGCTGGAAATTCATTTACTACCGGGACTGACTCAAGAGTTGGGGTTTTGGACTTTGAATTCTTAACCCAAACAAGATTATAGATATACTCTTTGGAAATCATTTTTCTGGCCTTAAGGTATTAGATCAATCGACCCATACCCACTGAGCTACTACCCTTCCATTCTAAGATGGGCTTGTTTGGAAACTGAAACCGAACGATCTTACTTCTACTATCGACTGAGGCATAATATGAATGTAACCAATCCATGCTTAGAATGATATCAAAATTTACCATTTCTAACTCTATAAGATCTGCTAAGGTAACTTTCTGAGAGACTGTAACAGGGCAATTTATGTATACCCGTCTAGCTTTAAGTGGTTCACAGACTGGAGTAGAGACTGAGAAGAGTTGTGAGAGAGTTTTTGGACTGCCATCGAAGTTTACTACTGTATAGGGAGTTATAAAAGACAATGTTGCCCCCGGATCAAACAATTGATAAACATCTAAATGAAAGACTCGAAGGTACGAGTGACCACATCAGGAGAATTTTCCTTGTCCTGGCGAGACTGGAGAGCATATAACTTTTTTTGGCGCTGACAACCACCTGTACAAAATGAAACACCTTGCTGAGTTGAGCCACCTACTGGAGCTGTAGACTGAGCCCTATTGTTATTACCCCCTTGCCCTTGCCTAGAAGAAGGGCATTGCTTCAACCTATGGCCAGACTGACCATACCCAAAACACCAATCTCTGCCAGCAAGACACTCAACCAGATGGTTCTTACCACACCTTGGGCAAGTTGAAAAAGTAGGATTACCTTACTCCCCTGTGACTTAGAACCTGGTTTCCTACTTTTCTGATCGTGTCAAAACCTGGGGGACGGAGCGCTAGCTGAGGAATGTGCTGGGGTTGTAGACCTGTGCTGAAACTGTGAGCAATTTCCACCACTCGAACTTTGCTGAGAGTATTCATAATGTCATGTTCTAGCCTTCTTATTGTCCTTAGACATTTCCCTAAGCTTTTATCCTTCAACCTGGTGAGCATGAGTCATTATTCTGGAGATATACATATCCCCTAGAAACATATCATTCCTTCACCCGGCCTTCACCAGATCGGATACCCCAAACAAGAACTTACTCATTTGTGCCCTTGGATCGGAAATCAGGTGTGGAGCATACCTTGAGAGCTAGGTGAACTTCAACCCGTACTCTTGGAGCGACATTGAACCTTGCTTCAAGTTATAAACTCTTGTGCCTTAGCTTCTATCAACTCCCTTAGAAGAACCTATCCATAAAAGCTCTAGTAAAACAATCCCAAGTTACATAAGCTGCATCTGCACCCCTGTTTTCTTTCCACTGAGTGAACCAGATATGAGCGACATTCTTAAGTTGATAGAATGCTAACTCAACACTCTCAGTACCAATCATTTGTATTACCTCAAAAATCATCTTAGCCTCATCAATGAAGTTCTGTGGGTCCTCACCGACCTTCGACCCTAGAAATTTTGGTGAATTCATACGAACAAAGTCTCGAACCCTAGTTGCAACTGATCCACCAGTGGTGTTTGTAGGAACTTTGGCCTGCCGATTATTCTGATTGGCTACACTCTAAGCCAAGATCTTGATTGCTTTTCGAAATTCCACACTCGTAACCTCATGATCCGAGACTGAAGAAACTGTGCTAGCATTGGATGCATTAGCATTCCGTGCATTAGCTCTATGAGGAGGAATGATCTGAAATGCATAATGATGGATTATAAAAGAAAAATTGCATAATACCCACGCACGATAAAAATAGCAAAGAAAGTAAGGTTTTTTACTTAAAACACTTTGTAGCTTCCCCCTAATAGGTGTCGCGTGCTTCACACTTATGAAAGTGACTCTACTTAGTGCGACTTTTAGACACCCTAGGACTCTTGAACCTGATTCTCTCATACCAAGTTTGTCACACCCCGATGCTACCTATTTGACGTAACACAGGACCTAGGATCATGAGTGACCCCAAGCTAACCATGTGTCTGGCATATATCAAGCATACTGAGAATAACTATATAAGACATGTACTATGCAGAAGCTAAAGAAGTGCATATCTGAAAATGGAAAAAACAAAAATACTCTGAATATAAGTTAAATAAACTAATAGTTTATCTATAAAATAAAAAACCACTTAAAAATTCAAGCTGAATCTACTACTATGTCTGAAAAAAGCCTCTAACTTATTTGAGTTTCTTGGACATGCCCCTCATCTAACTCTAAAAAACTGAAACTAAAAAGAATGACTAAAATGAAATCATGTCTATTGTCCTAGAAATATGAGTACTTACCATTGGAGCTACTGAATGTAGACCGAGAATCGATTTAAGTGTGATCTGGATGCTGAGTACCTCAACCGACATCATGAAAGGATGTACCGCAGGGTATGCATCAGTACTTGGAATGTAGTGAGCATGCAAGATATAGATACTAAGCTGAACAAATATATATATGCTTAACAAAGCATAACTGAGCAATGACAAAATCCGAGCAAGATATAAATACCAAAATATAACTGAAAAGCTAAACTGAATGCAATGACCAAGTACTAATCATGAAGATAACATCCTGAATTGTACACTGACATAACTGCTAAAAACCTGGTTGAATGCATTAAGAGTATGACTGTGGGAGCTACTATTAACCGACATAAACCATGTGAGCTAAACGTGCAGTCCGATGTATATGCCCCATCGAGAAGACCCAATATACCTTGCCAGAGGTATAAAGGCATGACTGGCGTGATCACTAAATCTGATGCCCAACAGAGGAGACTTATAATCCTATAGGGGCACGTAGTTCTGGGACTATGAGGGTACACTGAACCCTAGTCCAACTCGGTACTAAGTCTACTCACAACTTAATATGCATATGACACAAATATAACTGAAATATTGAATAGCACAAAATACTGACATGCTAAACGAGAATGTATCATTTATATACTGAGAATGCGACTTTCGAAATCTAGAGCATGATTTTATGTTTAACTGACCTAGAAAGTATAATTCATGAACTAATATAATTTAAACAAACTACGATTCTGAGTGTTATACAAGGAATTATGCAAAGTTTCCAATAAAACAAAAAATTTAGGCTGTAGATTATATAGAAACTGAAATCACAACAAATTTCCCAAGATTTTACAAACCCTAGGTCTAAAAAAGCTATGTTAATCAAGGAACTGACTGAATTCTAGGGACTTAGTGGATGAAAGGAACCCACTAGTAAAATTCCATGTACCTCGTGACGAAATGTACGGAGGAATCCTTTGGAATTTAGGGCTAAAACTTGAAGAACACTATTGCTTGTTCTTGGGAGGTTTAGTCGACTTTTCCTTTTCTTTTTGCTCCAAGTTTGGATGATTTTTGGAGAATGAGGGTTCCGGGTATGTCTAATTAGGTTATTAGGCTTAGATTGAGTAAAACGATGTAGTTTAGGCATCAAACGACGTAGTTTAAGTGCCTAATGCATAGGGAAAAAGACCAAAATTACCCTGACTTAAAACTGACGAGTTCCATCTACTATAAGAACAACGGGCCGTTATTTGAACTACCAACCGTCATTTGGTGCTAAGAGATATGATCATTTGAAGTTGACCCAACCGTCATTTTCCTTTAAATAGTTGCTGACCTTCACATATGGTCATACCTATGGTCTGTAGGTCCAACCACGAACTGTACTGGTCAACCGTGGGTGGGATAAGAGAACATTACAATTTGGACCTTAACGATGGAACCTCATCTACGGTCCATGGGTGGTTCCGTTGGTATTGGCACTAGTTTCTGAAAACTAGGATTTTCTTCATTTTGAAATCTTAGCTGTTACACAGGGGTTGGGTAAGGCTTTGTGTACGCAAACCTTACCCATACCTTTTGCAGGTAGAGGATGGTATTTCCAAACACATCCTTGCCTCAAGTAAATCATATGAAAGCAGATAAACTCGTTTATTAGTATTCAAAAAATAATTCTCGACATAAAACTATTTAAGGTCTATGAAGAACATAAATTGTGATTTGATCCCTAAATATAAAATAGGTTAAGAAGATGAAGATTGAAGTACCTAATTTATTCACAAACTGGAACACAATGTATTTCAGGAAGTCGGTGGTTAAAGAGGCCATTATTGTGAATTAGTGGCGGTGTAAACAAACATATTGGCTAGTGATTACTACCTCTAATATTTATGAAGGGAAAATGGAAATTTGAAATTTCGGTAGACACAACATTTTGTATATGAGATGTTAAAATTAGAAATGTTTTCGTTCAAAACGACATTTTGAAAGAAGTGCTGATGGTTAAATGACTAATGTACTCTCTATTTTCCGCAAACCTATTATTTTTTTAAGAAAAACACATCCTTCAAACGAAAATTTTTCCTGAATTATTTTATGCAACATAATACATCATTCAGGCTAAGTTTTTGTTTGGAGGTGTTTTTGTTAAAATAATTATTATTTTTTCACAGGAGAATGGAGGGTAGATTAGTCATTCAACACCTTATTCAAAAAGCCTTTCGGAACAAAAACATTTCTAATTCTAATGTATCATATATAAATATTGTGTCTACCTAAAATGTAATGCCTTGGTTGAGTCTACGGGTCCAATCTATAGACTATAGAAGCTTCCACGGGATTTTAGATGGCTATTGTAGGAAGTGGGAAGATATTTTTCTAAAATCAAGTCCTAGTACCCTTTTTATGGTTCATCGGGATGGTCCTTCATTTGATGAACGAGTCATAGATAGGTCTTGCAGATGAGTCCCAGACTTAGAGAAATTTTAAGGGATAAAGTTAGTTTCAACGGTTGGCCTGTACCGACCGTAGGAAGACCTGCAAGTCGTAAATGGATTCTGACAAAATTTGGTCAAAAATAATAGTTTTGGAACTTATTTACGATTCACTATTACGGTCCGTACAAGGACCTATGGACCGTTGTCCAAACCGTAGATGAACTTCGACAGTTATTTTAGAGGGCTTTTGGGTCTTCTCCCTAATTACTTTAACTCAATACTATGTTGTTTTGCCTTCTACCCTAATCCCTATATAAGATTTTTAGTAGCTAAAACTACACATTCAAACCCCATTCTCCTAATTCCCAAAATATAATGTCATGACCCAAGCCTACACCCCGGACGTAACACAGCGTAAAGACTTCAAAAAGCCTCATAACATTCAAAACATAAGACATAAGATAATGGTACGAAATTTAAAATATTTATCCATACAATCGAAGTCTTTATTTAAAAACAAACAACGGAAGTCTAACTTGTCTCAAATGGCCATCTAATACAACTTGAATCAAAGATAGGGTCACATCCCTTCAACATAGTCCGAAACGTAAAATGACATAGAAGAAAATAGGAAAGAACAACTCTCTTCCTCGAACCATGAGGAGTCACCACTAGCTTTGGAGAGAATCAATCCAAGCTTTGAACATTAGAAGTCACATTAAGATCCGGAACCTACACTTTGTAAAAATGTAGAGGAGATATGGGTTAGCACAAATATGTACTAAGTATGATAGCCATGCAAAAATCATGCTAAAAAGGACATTTTGGTTGAAAACCATGCTATATGTAAAGTTTGAGAATCATCATTCATCTTTAGATAAACACACAAGACATAAGCATATTCATCATGTAAGTCATTAGAACATAATAAAACCATTATGAAAGTAACCCTAAGTTATACTTGTGCAATGTATGAATGCCATCCCATAATACTATTCATACTAAGTACCATTTGAGGCCACCATAGCATACTTACCGTTCCTTTTTCTCATCTTTAGTAAATAATCATAGACAAGGAATATTCACATTTAACAAGGCATGACAAGGAAAACAACTTATAATCACATTTCCAAGTTAAGCATTCATCATTACATTAAGCCTTTAAGTCAACATTCACATTAACATCATTATGAACACATTCATTTCATTATACATTAAGATATTAGAGAAACACACCATAGCTACCCTCAACACTTACTCATGCAATGCATGGATGGCATCCCATACTACCGCCAACACTTCATAGAACTTCATGACTAACCATTGCACATAACTCACATGATGGGAATAAGCATTAATCGACATAGACCATGTGAGCAAACCATGGAATTTGGTGTCTATCGCACACCGTAAGGGTTGGTCTACTTGCCTAAGCTACCACCGGTAACATTTTAGCTTAGGTGGATCCTCTAGCTGATAACCTATGTGAGCACATAGTTATGTTATAAGGAAGGTGTTCATTGAAACCCGGCCTAATATGGGGAGAGCTTCCACCTTACCATATCCACTCGGTGCTAAGCTTAAATTCCCATAGAGTAGTTCATTCTCATAAACATTATTACACATGAGAAGGTGCCATTGGCCTACCGACCCAAGGTACATTGATTCACACATAAAATGGTGCCATTACCCTACCGATTCAAGGTACATTATTTAACACATGAATGGTTCCATAAGCCTACCAATTCAAGGTACATTATTAGGAAAGCTCATTGAATATTCATGACAGGGTGCCATAAGCCTACTGATTCAAGGTTCATCATTATCATTCATGGAAGGGTGCCACTAGCCTGCCGATCAAAAGTACATCATTAAAATACTTCATTAATCATTTATGAAAGGGCTACCACCATTAGGTCTACTGATTCAATGTTCATTAAGTCAAGATACATTAGTTACACAAGAAGAGGATGCCCTAAGCTTACCAATTCAAGATGTATAATCAATCAAAATCACTTTCAATTACACAAGAAGAGGATGCCCTAAGCCTACCAATTCAAGGTATACCATTATATTGAAGAAACCTTTCACAACATATCATCATCATTCACAAGTGTATAATTGAGAATAACCTTTCAACAATATCACAATTGCATTGTAGTCAAAATCACATTACTTTCATTGAAATGACAAAGTATGTACATAGGCATCATGATTATACATCAATCTTCATAATTTTCCCATCAAGGCGATGAATCATAATTCACCAACACACCTAGAATACTACAATTTTGGCATAAATAATGAATAATTCAAGTAAATAAACCATTTCAAGATCAATTACATAACATTCATCTTACTACAACTCACCCACATCAAAGTCATAAATTAGGGCTATAGGGAATCATGGATTCATAGGGTATTTTATCTTAAAACCACCATAAAACAGCAATTCAATCGTAAAATATGATAATTAAACCATTGAAAACATTTTGAGAAAGAACCCATGCCTAGAATGAAAACCCTTAGTTTTGGAGAATTTCCAACTTGAAAGTGAAGGTTTGAGGACTTCATGGATGGAATGTTAACCATGAATCAAAACTACTATACCTTAATTGAATATTCCTCACG